TTAAGAACAAATCTGTGCGTACGAACGGTTCTTGCATGAGGCCCATTGTTCCTAAAAACATTCTGAACACAAAGGTCAAATGGTCTAAAGAGAAACAGTTAAACGTTCTGGACTGGTCCAATTAAGGCCCAGATATCAGTTAAAATAAGAACATCTGGTATGATTTAGAGATTTTTGTTTGGTTCTGGAGCAGTTTTGTCATCAAGAATGTGTCAATGTAACGTTTACATGGACCAGAAGAGACAGGCCCCTCTTTTCTACTCCTTAGCGTAGGAGGAGTGAACTCTGGCGTCAGGTATTTGCCAGGCCCGTGGCTTTGTAACATCTGTAGCCTTATAGCCCCATGAACAAGCATTTAGCTAGAGGCAAGTCTTCAGTCTTATTTCAACTGGTGACGCCTCCGGACTCCTTCAGGGCAATGTGCATGGTAGGCGTTGGGGGGGTTAAATGGTCTCAAGACAATTTCTTGTCCAGATAAATTTGTGACAGGCCTAGTGCTGAAAATGTTGCCTCTATATAGAAATGATCTCTTGTGTGTCATTCAGAGCTGCAGTCTAATCTGAACAGACGTGAGCGTGGTGGGAAAGGTATGTTTGATTTGACTTTGGAGACCTGACACTGCTTAGTAAAAACACAGACGTGGGGTTTAGACACAGAGGTTTTCAGACCTGGTTCAGATACTTCCCAGCGAAGAAGGTCTGGTATTTCTGCTTGCTGAGGTAGACGGGGAAAGCCTCTGACTCGGGGCCTTTCTGCCACAGGAGGCTGGAGCAGTTCCCTGACAGGGAGTTGTTCCTCACCTCGTGGTTGTGGGGGTACCGACCCGTCAAAATGCTGCTCCTGCTGGGGCAGCACAGCGGCGTGACAGTAAACTGCACGAAACAAGAAGAGGAAGGTGCGCAGAAAGGAGGAAAAAGGGGAAAGCTGTTAAAAGTCAAGCGTGACAGCAGAAGGAGAACATGTGACTCCTTCAGTCTGCAGCCATGCGTCACTCAGCTGCATGAAACAACCAGATGTTACAGATTACAACCTAAAAACACGAGTATCAACCAACTTCACACTTTAAAACACAAATTAAAGAATATGAAGCTGAAGCGAAAAACTGAATATTTTCCTGTGAAACTGAGAACCAGACGGCTTCTTAAAATAGACAATCACAGAGTAAAAATACTCACAGCATTCAGAAACGTTGCTCCTGCCTCTCCTATCGCCGCTTTGGTTTTCTTCATGGGCGTCTGCAGAAAATATATAATGAAGACAAATATATGAAGCAGCAGTTAAAACTGTTTTAGTTCTGCAGTTTGTTACCAACAATCCTAACACTCTACTCTTTTACATGCTGTACATTTCTTTGTTGTGGTTTGGGTCTCAGACTACAATCAGTCAGTTTCTCCATCACAGTGAGCTGTGAAGAGCTGAACTTTTTACTGCTATTACTAGGAAAGTTTCTGTGAAACTGAGCTTTTGGCATCATCTTAACTCATCGTGTTTGAAGGAAGAGAAATGCCGAGTGTGACACAAAGAACATGATTCTCAGAGTCGAGCATGGAGGTGGAAACATTATGATTTGGGTCTGTTTTACTGCTAAGAGTGCAGGATGACTTCATTATACTGAGAGGCCAATGGATGGGGCCATGCACTGTAAAATGTTGGATACAAAACCTTCTTCCCTCAGCCAGAACCCTGAGGTTGGGCCATAGATCGGTCTTCTAGCAGAACAATGACCCAAAACATAAAGAATTGCTAAAGAAGAAACATTTTAAGCATTGGTTTACATGACGCTGAGTGAAACCAGAGGTTTTCTGCTGCAGTTCTGTTTGTGGAGGTTTTTGGAAGACCCCCTGCAGAGGTGTGAAATCGCTAAGCACTCTACCTCAGCCGGTTCAGATGTGATCAGTCCATTAAATGGACGTTATTAGTGATTATCAGTCCCATAGAATGGCTTCAGACTGTCTCGACAGTGCCCCCTAGTGGGTTACCAGTGCCATATACGTTGGAATGCAACAATCTGCTACCGCCACAGTCCGGTCTACTTTATCGTAACCCATGTCATTTTCTCTAAAATTAACCTTAGTGGCTTTATGCCTCATATTAACCAGATTACATAAAAAACCTTAGTGGTTTTATGCCTCATAATAACCAGATTACATAAAAAACCTTAGTGGTTTTATGCCTCATATTAACCAGATTACATAAAAAACCTTAGTGGCTTTATGCCTCATATTAAACAGATTACATAAAAACCTTAGTGGCTTTATGCCTCATATTAACCAGATTACATAAAAACCTTAGTGGTTTTATGCCTCATATTAACCAGATTACATAAAAACCTTAGTGGTTTTATGCCTCATATTAACCAGATTACATAAAAAAACCTTAGTGGCTTTATGCCTCATACTAACCAGCTGACAGTCTGAAGCCATTCTATGGGACGGAGAACCCACTAGGCGGCACAGTCGAGACAGTCTGAAGCCAGTCTATGTGACTGATAATGGCTAATAACGCCCATTTAATGGATGATAACATCTGAAGCGGGTGTCTACCTGCGGCTGCAGTCAATAGTTTTTCTGCGCGAGCAGCAGAACAACAGCTGATAGTAAAGTTCTGCTCTACTCAAGACTTTTCAACATGCAGGAACAGCCCAACCTCATCTAAGGTGTAGCGCTGGGCAATAATTCAATAATAATATACGTATATGGGGCGGCTGTGGCTTACTGGTTAATGGAGTGGTGATCTAAATCAGACAGTTGGTGGTTCAATTCCCTGCTATTCCGTCACATGTTGAAGTGTCCCTGGGCAAGACACTGAACTCCCCACTGCCTCTGATGTGTGTCTTATCAGTGTATGAATGTGATTTAAAGCACTGATTAGTCTCCATAGGATAAAACAAGCTAGATTTGTAGAGATCTAGTAGAGTGCTGTGTGAACGGGTAAATGAGAGCACAGATATTAGTGTAAAGTGCTTCGAGTGTCCTGGTTGGATAGAAAGGTGCCATGTAAGTACAATCCATTTGCCATATATCATGATAGACACGTGATCAATATCCATGGAAAATTTGTCCCACAGAATTGTTGATAATTTCACCAAACTGATCCAAAACCACATGTAACTCTGGGAGATGTAGGCAGAGAAAAGGCTTTAGCTGCTTGACCTCTCATGGCCCAGCTAAACAAGGTTGGTGGCATCAACTCTCCCTCACTCTTTGGTAAGCTAGGGTGAAAGAGAAAATGAGTGCAAGAGCTCAATCGTGGATAAAAAGGAAAGGTCACATCTCCAGTTTGGCAGTATTAATCATCCTTTTTATCCTGGACCTTATTTCAAGTAGGTAAAAAAAAAGAACAATTAACAATTATTGAGGTCGACTGAAATGTTTATATCATGATAAATTTTTCAGACATGTCACCCAGCCCTACTAAGGTGTTCATCACTCTTTCAATTCAATTCAATTCAGTTCAATTCAAAATGACTTTATTGATCCCAGAGGGAAATTAGATGTTGTAGTGATGGCTATAGGCAGGACAGATCTTCTGTAGCAGTGTCTGTATTACAGTGAAACTGAAGAAGCCTCCGACTGAAGAGGCTGTTTTTCTCAGACAGTCTGATGAAGACATTGATTGATTTTATGTTAATTTATTTCCTTGCTACATCATTGTTGCCAGATATGCACACCACCAGCATTTTCCCACCAAGTACTACACTGCAAAAAATGTCCATCTTACCAAGTTTTAAAATCTTATATCAGCCAAAAAGTCTTTTTGATCTTGTTTTGAGACTGATTTACTGAAGAACTGATTGTGTAAGAATAATAATCTTGTTTTCAGAATGTGTAAGATTATTTGTCTTGTTAGTCTGAAAATTTGACTCAAATTAAGTCAAAAATTTCTGCCAATGGAGTAAGAAAATTTTACTTGGTAAGATTCTTGAAATAAGAAAAAATGAGTCGAAACAAGTATTTAAAGAACCTTACTAAGTAAAATTTTCTTACTCCATTGGCATAAATTTTTGACTTAATTTGAGTCAAACTTTCAGACTAACAAGACAAATACTCTTTTATATTCTGAAAACAAGATTATTATTCTTACACAATCAGTTCTTGTTTAGTAAATCAGTCTCAAAACAAGATCAAAAAGACTTTTTGGCTGATATAAGATTTTAAAACTTTGTTAGATGGACATTTTTTGCAGTGTAAACAGGTTCATCATCCGACCCATTGTATAATGAGACAACAATTTAAAAAGCTGTCAATCATCTATGTTATAACTGTCATGATTCTTGTGTGCTATGTTGTGATTCTTGTGTGCTGTGTTATGATTCTTGTGTTTTGGTTATTTTCTGTCACGACTTGGTGGTGAGGAGAACCCAAAATGCAGGCAGGCAGGCAGACCAAACTTAAAGTAAATAAAAGAGACTTTAATAAAGAAAAAAAGCCAACGTGGTGGCAAGCAAACAAAACATAAAAAAATATCAAAACTTGAAACAAGAGCATGAAAATGAGCTGAGAACAAACATGGGTAAGTAATGAACAGACACTGAAGTGATGAAGACAAGATCCTTAAATACAAACAGGGCTGAGTGGAAGTAGGAAACAGCTGGGTGATTACAATTAAGAACAGAGTGTGGCAGGCTGGAAAAATACAAAGAAGCTGACTGAGGTAAACATGGCACAGGAAACTGAAAACAGGAAATGAGAAAATAAGACAATACCAAAACAATCTGAAAAATACTACCAGAAAATAACCAAAACACAAGAATCATAACACAGCACACAAGAATCACAACATAGCACACAAGAATCATGACAATAACGTGTTTTCGCTCTGAATTTATAGTTGATATTTCATGTCTGTATTTAAAAAAAATACAAATAAAAAAGTCATCTGTGTGTAAAAAGGTCAGATTTACCAACTCCTCCATGGATCAAATATTTCTCCTCCTTCTGGTACATCAGAATTAATCTGTGGTGCAGATTAAACCTGAAAGGACTCAGATTTAACTAAATTTACAGATAAAACAACCCTGTTTGTTTAGAGCAGTGTTTCCCAAAGTTGGGGTCGGGATCCAAAGTGGGGTCCCGAAACATCAAGGTGGGGTCCTGAAAAGATTTTCTGAATTTATTACAATTTTGCCTTAGTGGTTACAAAGGAGTGAGATTAGTGTATTTAAAGTGGATAAATGTAGTATAAAATATTGTTAATATGGCCATGTTTTGTTGACCTGATACAAATGTTTATCATCCAAAAATAGTTGGGGGCACAGGTCTCTGCTACTGTTATTTTGTGTCAAAAGCTGAAAAGTTTGGGAACCACTGCACTTTGGTTCCCAAAGTTGGGCTTGGGACCCAATTATGGGTCATGAAGCACCTTGGATAATCTCCAGAAATCAATTTAAAGGGTAATAAAATAATTGCTGGTGTAATATTTTCCCTATAACTATTACAAAAACGCAAAATAAGTAAAAATAAGTATTTATATTTGTGTACAAGCTGTTTAGATTGTCAAAAAGCCTGTGTTTTTAGGGTTATTAACAAAGTTTGTGTACTCAGACCAGTAATATTTGGGGTCACAAGTTTTTGCCATGGATATTTTGTGGGTCAGAAGACAAAAAGTTTGGGAACCAGTGGTTTAGAGTCCACTGATAAAATGATAAGACCCCCATCAGAGTTCCAGGAAAGACTTTAAACTCAGTGAGGTTTAAACAGGACCCCCCCTGACAGCTGTAGGAGGTAGACTCTGAAGGATTAACACTGGTTCTCCGGGTGCCCCACTCACCATGCCCCCCAGATCAACATCCTGGTCGTCAACGAGCACGAGGACGATGTTGCTCGGTTTAGCCCCGGTCGCACACCTGACGCAGCAGGTGAGCAGCAGCGCGAGGAGCGCCGCCCGGGCCGCTGCGGGCTTTCCTCCGCGCCGGAGCCCCGCGGCTCCTGTCCCTCCGCTCGGCGCTGCCATTCGGAGCCCCGGTCTCTGAGCTGCGGGGTCTGCTGCTGCTGCTTCCGCCGACCGTTCGACTGGAGGCCGGTTCGGCTGTGAAGAACCGGAGTCCGGTCCGGAGAGGCGGAGAGGCTGAAAGTTTGAGGAAGTGAAGGAAACTGCTTGGTCATATGACCCGAGAGAAGGGGAGGAGAGAGACATGCTGCACTCAGCAGGAAACATAAATTCATTAAAATAATGTTATTATAATGTTTGTTACATTAGTGTAGTTACACATGTTCACCTCCTCTCTTAGAGGAGACGTGCTGCACTCAGCAGGAAACATTATTTGTCCTTATTACTTAATTATTCATCCAATACTGTTGTGGGGTTTATTATATATAACTCGTTTAATAAATGTTATTACAACCCGAGATGTCACAAATGGGCTGTATTTGTGAGCATGCGCTGTACGTCCAGGCAGCTGCCTTCTTCACGTAAAAAGATAACGATTCATGACAGTTACCAAATTATCTGAAAAAACACTGTGCAATTTTAACTACACTTTCAGAAAGAAATGTGTTTTTATTTTTTGAAAATGAAGAGTAATTGTTTCTAACTGTAAAGAAGAGTAATTAGGAATTGGATAAAACTGTTTCTTTTATTAACATATTTGATTGCTTTTCAACTGATTTGACAGAAAATTACACGCAGTTAGTTCAAATCCTAAAATAAAAAAGTTGTGTCATAAAGGAACTCAAATTATTTTATTACAAGTTTGGAACGTGTCGAGATAGAAGCCAAAACTAAAAGAAAAAAAAACTACTTATATTGTTTTTATTGACGTTCTTTCTGACATGATTGTAAAATTCATTATTTTTGTTTATGTCGATTTGAGTCGGAACTATTTATTCACGTCTCGCGCGCTTCCAGCCGGATCTATTTTGGTGAGACACCGTCACCGGTGCTGCTCCGCAGCTGCTTCCCGTGTGCTCTGGTTTGCAGCGGTTGCCTGAAAAACCAGGTTAACAGGATGTGTGGCACACATGAGCCAACTGTGAGGTTCTGAAGGGATTATGTGTCGACAACAGTGTAAAATCACTAAATTCTGTTAGTAAAAAATACATCAGAGTGGTGAAGATGATGATGGTGCCGCTGAAGAGAAGGAAGCTTGTCACGGCAGAAGCTGGGAACACTGGAGGAGACGGAGGAGAAGAACCGGCCCGGTTTCCTCACATGGTTCTGTTTCTGTTAGAAAGAAAGATGGGTTCCAGTCGCAGAAGTTTTCTGTCTCAGCTCGGGCGGAGGAAAGGATTTCAGGTGGAGGAGCAGTTCAGGTGAGAGGCTTTAAAACAATGTAACCACTAGTTTACTGTACTGGTATTTACAGTTGGTAAAACTGAAACATGACAAATATACAGTTAATAAATGACTGCTTCACTCATTGAGACAGTTTGAGCTTTAGTCTGAGGTGCTCCTTTTGTCTAATCCACAGTAAGAAAGTAACTCATGTTATTTGTGAAAACAACTCTGCTGAAGATGTCAGGAGGTGTCTGACGTCACAGGGAGGAGTCCAGGAGGAGGTCCACCTGTTGGACATCAGCTGGTTCACAGAGAGCATGAGGGCAGGACACCCGGTTCAGATCCTGGACAGACATCAGCTACAGGTTGTTTCATCGCAGTCTGTCTGCCTGCTGCCAAAAATATACGTTTTTATGGACTATAATGCAAAATTGACGTGTTGAGTTTTATATCATGTTATAATGTCTTTATCTCATCAAAACATACAGAGTGTCTGTGTTGTATAAAGTACCAAAAAGTGATACTTGAGTAAAAGTACACTTATCTTACCAAAATATTACTTAAGTAAAAGTTAAAGTTTCTTTTAGGAATATTACTTGAGTAAAAAGTCTTAAAGTATCTGATATTTTTTGTACTTAAGTATTAAAAGTAAAAGTATTTATTTAAAATGAGCAGTTAGATTTTCTGTAAGGACATTTATTAGGAGGTGACCTCCACAAAAATACAGAAAATGACTATTTTGTATTAAAATAATTAATTTATGTTAAATTTAGGATGCACAAGTCTAAATGTTTCAGTTTATATACATATATCAAAGCTGCACAAACATTTTCCCCAAAATGAAAATCTATCTGAGAGCTGCGGTCAAATACACTAATATATTTCATGAAATGCAAATACTTCTTAAGTACAGTCCTTTTATTTTAATGATTATGTCCTGCTGGAGTGTGACATGATTTGTTTGTGTACAAATACGGTATTAGAGTTTTATATATTTATACTTCTCATTCAATCATAATTAAATTCACTCTATCTAGGAGGCACAATTTATATGGATAGTATTTATTTTTATAATAACAAGCTGGAATGAAAACAAGCAAAAATGAAATAAAAGTAACGACTGTTTTTAATGTAAGGAGTAGAAGAAAAAAGTACTCTGAAAAATCATTACTCAAGTACAGATACCCAAAAATTCTACTTAAGTACAGTAATTAAGTATTTATACTTTACAACTCTGCAGTGTTGATTTGACTCATTCATGCATGTATCAAAGCACCACCTATTTGTACATAGCTCCTCCCTCAATGTGCAGCCGAGCTCCCGCCCCACAGAGCGCCCCTCCCCTGAAGCATTGTTGTAAAAACATGCTGAAGTGGGAGTGTAGGAAATGGTAGGAGGTTCTTAAAGAGACTGAGGCCAATTTCAAGGTATTTAGATAGGCTTTGATGTGAAGTCAAACGTATTTTTGATATATACAGCTTTTTCATAAACACTTTTGTGATGGTTTCAAACCCCAGAGTGGTTTTACTCTGTAAGAATCCTTTTATTTAATTTATACCTTTAGAATTACAAAACCACGAGCCTGGCAAATACCGTGTTGTTTTAGTACAAACTAATGAGCATTACTTGAAGTTACATTATGTGACACCATCATCTCTGTCCACATCTACAACACACATCAGTGGTCATGGGACTTTACATCATGTGGCTTCTCCTCCTGTGTGCTGAATGCCAGGAGTACTTCCTGTTTGCACTCATTACTACAGATGGTGATGTTTGGATGAACACTGAAATTCTTTGCAAACCTTTTTCTACACTCCAGTGTTTAGAGGTTAATATTTTCTAAGAGCTTCTAGGTGTGATGGCACACACCCGAGAATGTCCACCGGGCAGGAGACCCCAGGGAAGACCCAGGAAAGGCTGAAGAGTCAATGTCTCTCATCTGGGGTTGGATTTATAAAGCTTGCATACGCACAAAACAAGCCCAGAAACCTGCGTACGCTACTTTTCACGCCATGGTTGTGTTTTATAAAATCTAAACTTGACGTGAAAATGTGCGGTGCCTCAGCCAGGTCCAGCGTTGCCAGATGGGAAATGTTGAATTATTGTATCAGCAGCTCAAAATTATCGTACACACCCAAGTTACATTCTAGAGAGGCTCAAATTTACAAATACATCCTACATCCTAAAATGAAATCAGGAAAAGAACAAATCATTGTAGTTTATTGTACTTTTGATTAGTCAAGAAATAAATTGAGTACATACTGAGCAAATTTAATCTGCAAGCCTCCAAAATCTGTTTTTTTTTTTCTTTAACAATTGTTCCTGGATGTTCATTAAATGTAAATGTTGCTTATACTCATCTTCTCAGTCCCACCTTTTCTTTTTGATTTTACAGTTATTATTTCTTTCACATAAGTACTATTTTATTTATCTTTGCTGCTAATAGTTGCCATTGCCATCATAACCCCAATGTGGGATGGGGTGG